GTTGGATTAACTAGTATTTTAAATCGTATTTCTAAAATTTGGAAAAACAAATCAGGTCAAATTTTCAATGTCTTCAAACTTTCATGAATATTTCCCATTTTGTAAATTGATTCACATTAAGAAATACCTAAAATATTAATTAACTAGAATTCACAAAAAGGTTTTCAAAAAGTATTCATGTTTTTGTGTTGAACTCATATGTTCAAAACAACTTCAAACTTATTATCCCAGTATGTAACTAAAACTTTCAAAATCAATTTTGAACAATAAATGGCTTTAATTCAAATAATATTTTGCAATTTTTCTGAATAGGAATATCTGAATATTTTTCTTTAAAATATTTATATTGATTTCATGAAGAACAAGACTAGGTCAAAATCAAACTTTATCTAAAAGATACTAAATAGGACCATATTCCTTAGTTTGTGCATTGTTAAGAAACAGGTTCTTGTACTTTTGCATAATTATGTCACACAGGTTAGTTATATATAAATAAAAACATTTAAACGGATGCCAAAATCTGTTCAATTTGCATAAATTGGGCATACACAAATATTGACAATATTTTTTTTAACTAAATTTGAGATCCATTCCAGATTTTAGTGGCTGCTGTATATGCCTGCCAGTAGTACTCACACATGCTTGAATTGTTTCAGCCTCTGTTGAGATAGGCTGTAGCTGTTTGCTATCAGGTATATAGACATTGTTTCACTCATAGAATTAGCACAGTCCTAAGAACTTTTCATGCCAAATCAAGATTTTCACACAATTTTCCAAAAACTTCACTGAGTTATGATAACTTCGCATTTTTTTCTTCATTTCAAATACTTTCACAAATCAAACATGATCACAATTTTTTTTTCAATTTCCAAGATATCAAATATTTTCAGTTTCGAGAATTTCACAAATCTTACATTTCCTGGTTTATTTGCTCACAGATTAAAGTGTATATAGGTTCCAATAGTTTAAATTGTAAAAAACACCTACAATGTCAAAATCAAAGATATTTTGAACCATGTCGACATAAGAATTGCTGAAATGCATGGGGAAGTTCGGAGTCTGTAGCCATTCCATGTGTAGTCAAGCATCTATCTGTCCAGGGGCAGACACATACAAAAAGGACAACCACGAAAACATGGTGGGGTTCTTCAGCAAGAAAGTAAATTATTCTATACAAATATCAAATCCAATTTCATAGGCAAATACCAAAATGGTGGTTTCCTTCCGTTTTTATTTGTTTTGAGTCATTTATAGATCAGGTCTGTCGTTCATCATCAAATGAAAATCCTAAATTTACGTCATGAAACTGGAAATTAAAACTGACAATAACAAAAACCAAGATCTGTCTACAGTAATTCTCGATCAGCTGCGAACTTCAAAACTTCACTCTCAATCTTATCAGTGTAGAGAATAAATGTATTGGGAATTCTTTCAATTTCAAAATGACAAAAGCATTATTACAATACATGTATACCCAACTGTAAAAGAATTATGCCAAAAACAATCCTTTCTAGAAATGTCTTTTGAACATGTCACTACAAGACAATTAACCAGTTTTAGCTTTAAATATCTACATTTTAAAGATCTTGTGACAATAAATGAAACATGAAGAGAACTTGAACTGATTTTAACAGAAATTGTAAAAACACTATTTACAACAAGAGGCCCAAGAGGGCCTGTGTCGCTCACCTGAATATTTAAGCAGTCATAGCAAAATATTCTCATTAAATATTATATTGCACTAAAAACATTCCCTCACAAACTTTGTTGGCTCCATCTGTTGAAATTACCAGCAAAATATTATTATAAGATTCTAAGCTTTTTGATTCTTCTTCAGAAGTTGCTTGACATATTTTTCCCTGTGATCTTGTAAGAAGGTCAATGTCATTTTCCTTCTCAAATTGGTTAGCTCTATTCCAAAAAGCTACCAGCCAAATCTTATGAATCCATTCCTTTTAGTTCTCAAGAACAAATCCATTAAAATGTTGTTGACCTCTGTGACCTCTAAAGTAGGTTGAGGTCATTTTCATTTGCAAACTTTGGTGAGCTCTATCCCGGGAAGTCACCAGCCAAATATTATAATTTTATGCCTTTTAATTCTTCAGAAGAAGCTGTTTGAACTGTTTGACATATTTGAACGCTGTGACCTTGAAAGTAGGTCAAGGTCATTTTCATTCGCAAACTTTGTTTGGCTCTTTCCCAGGAAGCCACCTGCCAAATATTAAGATTTTATAACTACCAGTTCTTCAGAAGAAGTCGTTTAAAGTGTTTGACATATCTGCCTCATGTGACCTTAAAAGAAGGTCAAGGTCATTTTCATTCTCAAACTTTGTTCGGCTCTTTCCTAGGAAGCTACAAGCCAAATATAGAGATTATATACCTTTCAGTTCTTCAGAAGAAGTCGTTTGAAGTGTCTGACACATTTGACTCCTGTGACCTTGAAAGAAGGTCAAGGTCATTTTCATTCTCAAACTTTGTCGGGCTCTATCCAAGGAAGCCATCAATCAAAAATAAAGATTCTATACCTTTCAGTTCTTCAGAAGAAGTCATTTGAAGCATTTGACATTTATGACCCCTGTGACCTTGAAAGTAGGTCAAACAAGTTTTCATTATCAAACTTTGTTGGGCTCTATCCCAGGAAGCCATCAGCCAAATATGAAGATTCTATACCTTTTAGTTCTTTAGAAGAAGTCGTTTGAAGTTTTTGACATATTTGACCCCTGTGACCTTGAAAACAGGTCAAGGTCATTTTCGTTCTCAAACTTTGTAGCGCTCCTACCAACGAAGCTTTCAGCCAAATATCATGACTCTAGGCCTGTCCGTTCTTCAGAAGAAGTTGTTTAAAGGAAAAGTTGACGGACGAGGACGGACGGACGCCGGACGGACGACGGACGCCGCGCCACGGCATAAGCTCACTTGGCACTTTGTGCCAGGTGAGCTAATAATGGACTGTGTGTAATGATAAACAGACTCAAGTCAAAGACCTTGATGAACATTGTATGTGACACTGAAACCTATAATGGTGCCCGCTTTGCAATATGAATAAAAAGTTTTAACAGCCTTTGTTAAAACTGTTTGCGTGATAGAAACCAGAGAACAGTATACCAGAAGAACACTGGTTACCAAAGTGACCTCATATGGCTCGGAATCCAGTATTTCATCAGCAGTAAAAATATTGAATGGGTCCTGAACTCATTCACCACTACAATTTTAAACTGGACTTGCCCAGTCATTGATTTGGTAAGGTTCAAATGTGGCTTTAGGGGTGGATGGGTGAACCCATGAGGAATTGTCCTCTTATTCGTTCATGAGGTCAGCACCGACACATTTCAGTCCGTTAAATCCATTTTCATGTTCCCCTAAATGGCATCATGATTTTCCACGAGTTTGCATGCAAGCCAGAAATCTTCCGTCAATCAGAGCTGATGATCTATTCAGTCCTTTGTTGACTCAAGGGCTTCATTCTCATTAGGGCTTCCGTTGACTCCCTCCCACTCTTGACAAGCAGAGGATTCCCCTCAAATCAATACTGAGTGTCTTAGTCAGTCAGCTGCTAACCTCTTTTCAACACAGTGACTCACCTCCACTCCTCCCCCACCCACCCCCTCCCAACACACTGGGTTGGGTAACTATGGCCCCCAGGCAGGGTATTACAGCACATGTGTTGTTCCTCAGGAAATATTGTAATCCCCAATTAGACAAAACACATGCTTATAGACTGACACATCTGTACAAAATTTTGAAAAATGCCAGATTTTCTCGGTCTCTATTTCTAAAGGCCGCAACACACAAATGAAAGAATTTCAGTCAAATTATTTTTAGGCGCAGTACACATATGTCTTTGTTTTCAATAAGGTATTCACTTTTAATTTTGGAGTGGAAAATGCAATTAAACTTCAATGAACTCTCCCTAAAGCTACGCCTTTCTATAAACAAGTTAGTCATCATAACAAGAGGCCCATGGGCCTTAACGGTCACCTGAGTCCTACAGTATTTATTTTTGTTGTTGAAATATGTACCAATTTGAGTAAAAATAGTTAAGTATAATGTTAACTTAACTTTGTCAGGACCATGAGCTGATCATTCCTAGACCGATTTTCAGTGAGATCAGCCTATTAGAACTTGTTTTTAAGTTTGAAATAGGTATTTTCAAAATGGCGGCTGTGGCGGCCAAATTGTATATCTGATTGACCCGAAAAATAACAACACTTTGTCAGGACCATGAGTCGATCATTCCTACCAACTTTCAGTTCAATCGGCCCAGCAGAACTTGACTTTAAGTTTGAAATGTAAAATGTTAACGGACGACGGACGAAAACGGATAGCAATAGGTCACTTGAGCTAAAGCTCAGGTGACCTAATAAAAGCTGAACACTAGCTTGATTCCATAGTTTACAGTTTTGTTAAGAGGTTGTCTTGATTCAGTTAAAATCGGACAATATCCATTATCCAGAATTTCTTACAGAAATTCAATTTGAAAACAAATGTGATTACTTCTTTTGTTGAAAAAAAAAGAAAAAAGGAAATAAATTAAGCAAGACATCAATTTAAGAGACATTATCAGCAAATTAAATTTCGTTATAAAAATATCTGTGCCAGGTTTTTCAAAATTGTAACGTTAACCCTATGGAAAGTCTAATACACCTGGGAGCGCTATCGATCACTGTGGTTGAACGAAATGTTAGCGTATCATACCCATGCTTCGTAATCAATCTCAACATGAAACAAGTTTCCTTTGGGAGAAAAAAACCTTGTGATTCCTTAATCGAGGTGAATCCTGAGATAACATTGTATTGTAGAAAGCGATACATCAGCCCAACACTCTGACAAAGCAACGCATTCTCTACTACTACTCTGCTTAAGACACCGATCAATTCTAATTAGTGTGCCTGTGATGACGGTGGGAAAACTGGTTAAAATGTTGGGACGAAAATTAATGTTTAGAATAAATTTATTTATTTTATGGTTCGAGTTCAAAAAGTGGATAAAAGGTTACTTACCATCAAATTTTCTTGTTCTTGATACAAAAGTACTTTTTACATATCTAAAAGATTCATCTACTAATTTAGCATACTCCTTGGTACCGAGTGACTTTAACTTCTGTTCCATGTCGCGCGTACAACATGTGTGACCCTGCGGGCATACTTCCAGGTGTTCTCCTGTAAACGATATAAAAAAAACACATAAGTCAAAATAGTACACTTCAATGCAATCAACAGTTATCACTATCAAGAGTATTCTTAAATACCTGCATGGAAGTTATAACCATATCATATACATTCTTGTTCTAGACCATCTTGTGAATGAAGTCACATATGAGCCTCATATTTCTGGCTCCAATAGACCTGAATAAGTTGAACAAGTCCTCTTAATTTGAATCATAAAAGGGCCTGTTTCCAGTAATGTTAATTCTCCATAGGAGCCTGCCCCCGTATAATTTCTTATCTAGCTCAACTACTGTTTTTTTCTTTTCCGAAGAATAATTTTACACCTTTCCGACACCCAGATTTCATAATTTCAGTGAAAATGTATTTTTATAAAGTTGTCAATTTCAGCATCAAAGACATAAGTTCGTAAATAAAAGAAGGTTATCTCGAAATTGTAATTCGCAACATAGTATAAATTTCTTTTGATAAATATTTCCAAAACATCGTGTTTATTCATAAAACATAAAAAAAAAAATTCTCGGATGAAAATGCACTTGCAGAGACACAATTATGAAGAAAAATGCCATAAAATTGCAATTTTCTCCCGTTATATAGTTTTGGATGCAAATTTCCATCAGAAAATCGGATAGAGCTTTACTTGTTTCATATGTGTACCAAAAATCAGCTAATTCCATGTGGTGGAACGTTCTCATATCGCCGCCTGAATGTGGTTGTAAATTGAAAGAAAAGGGGAAATGAGTAACAACCTTGTCTGAAACCCTATTATATAGCTTATTATATACAAACTTTTATATTGAATATCAGAGCGGATATTTTCATGACAGTTTTATGATGTGTAACGACTAAATAAACAGTATCGATATAAAGATTTACACTGAGGACACCCTGATACATGAATACTGTTCTATCTCAAGTTGTCCTCTTCTGAATTTTCTGATCGTGTGGCCTTGTACATTTATCCGTATCTTCTTGTCTTTGTCTATACGTTTACGGAATCATTGACTCGACGCTAGCTATTCTTGTCTCACTTTCCTTGTTTTATTGTCCCATCTCCAAAGCGTTGTGGCTCTGTCAGGGTTGGGACCCTGACTTGTCTCACTTTCTTTGTGCCTGCCGACCACGCCACATCGAATAGATAGATTATCCATATGAAATACTTTATTTTGTTCTAAGTAATCAATCAATTCTGCGCTTCTTGGAGGTATTGAATGTGATTTATTATATTGTCTTGTTATTTTGTGTAATTAGTTGTTCGTTATTTATCACACATTTTCGCATAATTGTACCAAACTACTAAGTATTAGCTGTTTACAGCAATCATCGGTGGCTTGCTATTTTGTTACTTTATCGACGCTTCATAAACCAATCGTTATTGTTTCAAGATGGAGGGTAAATGTGTTGGAGAAGGGTGTCAAGTATACTTCAAGAAACGTAGTGGCAATAAGAACAGAAGTGCACGCAATGTAAATAGTCCACAATATAAATGGCTCCTAGATACGCTGGTGCAACAAGGATTGATGTCAGCAAAGGAACAAGCACTTATTTGCCAGAAGTGCTACATGAAGTATCTTCGGAACAAAAATCAGCCTGAACCTGAACCCGAGCAGAACCAGGAAATAGAGGAAGAAGACGACTCCCCGTCCCATATCCTGCCGTTGCTGACCCTTCATGATCTTTTGAATGGATCATCTTCACACAAAAAATGCTGTCTCTGTCTTGTTACCTTTGCAAGAAATGGAACAAAATCATCAGTCTTACCAAAACGTGCAAGACATCACCTGATCTATTCACACAAACTGTGGTGTCCCACCTCATCCCGCGTCTGCTCCATTCACCTTATTGGTAACGACTTAGATCCGTCTACAGAGGTTGTCCTTGATGGTAGAGGTTCCTTGGAATCTCAGTTACCATCAAAATCGTCCGAAATCATTAATGACCTCCTAGAGGTGTCGCACGTCCTTTCACAGAACCAGTCTGCGTTTACAATAAGCTTTTCTTCTCTTGATGACTCGGCATGCATGGCCTGGACAGGTTGGTCCAAAGATCAGTTCCTCGAAATCCACTCGCACTGTTCCCCATATCTTTCATCTGGTATATATACCAAGACTACACACGATGCTCTATTACTGTTCTGGGTAAAACTGAAAACCGACATTTCCTGGAGTCAGTGTTCTTCTCTTTTTGGAATTTCCAAGTCAAGTGTGTCCAAAACTTTCCACTCCATAGTACAGGCATTAGACACATCGATAGTCCCACAATTTCTAGGTCCGGATCACTTGACAAGAGAACAGTTGCTCGGGCACAATACTGTCTTTTCAGAAGCATTTTTTGGAGATAAAGCCACTGCCATATTAGATGGCACCTATATTTATATCCAGAAAAGCTCCGACCACAAGCTCCAGAGAATGTCCTACTGTGGCCAGAAGAAGAGAAACTATCTCAAATTCATGAGCATCGCCTTACCAGATGGCTACATTCTGGACACAGTAGGACCATTCACTGGCAGCGAAAATGATGCTACAATTACAAAAAAAGTCATGGACAAGCTAGTTACTTGGCTACAACCAGACGACAACGTTGTCGTTGACCGAGGTTTTAGAGATGTCCTACCAGTTCTCGAAGCCTCTGGCCTCAATGCTAGCATGCCGTCATACCTGAAACCCGGTCAAAGTCAACATTCTGACGTCCAAGCAAATCTTGACAGAACTATCACCAAATCGAGGTGGATTGTGGAATCCTATCATGGTCGTCTGAAACACTGGACGTTCTTCCGAACGCAATTGGTGTCTAACAGCTTTATCAATGTCATCGAGGCTTTGCTTCGAACCGTCACAGCCTGTCTGAATGGTATTAGAGGACCGATCTACCAGAGATCTCCAGAGAGAGATGCCAAAGATAGGCTAATGGCTGAACGTATGAAGGACCGTTTGACAACACCGAATGGTTTAGCTCAGAGAGTCAAGACAGATCCGGATCTATCTAGACGGGCAAGGTCCGAGTTTGTCAAGATGGATGCATCTTCCGTACTGTTTCCCCGTCTCGATCTTGATTACTTGAGAACCATTACGTGTGGAACGTATCAGATATCTCTGGCTCCTGGTTACATCGCCGAACATTTAAGTGATGACGGAGACTATGAGGTGTGGCTTTACCAGCACTCCCCAGACCTTCTCCGATGTCAAATACATTCTCGACACAAAAGCCAAACGAAATATAACGTTTGGATACGGTTCACCGTTTCACCCGATGTTGAGGCCCCAATAAAGGACTACTACTGCCAGTGCCCAGTTGGAGAGAGAACGATGGGAATGTGTGCGCACATCTCCAGTATCTTGTACTACCTTGGGTATTACAGGACGCTGGAAAACCCTCGACCATTACAACCACAGGTAAAGAAATTCCGACAAAACTTGAAATAGTTTTCCATGCGGCAACGGAGTGCATATGTCGAAAGTATGTTTGGGGCTCGATATGAAAGATCCCCGTTACCATGTGACTAACCAAACTTATAAATATAGGTATTATACAATCGCCCGTAGCTATGAACACTCCCGTAAATGCGAAAACCAACCAAAATCATAAGGAACACGTTTTGTTTGTTGTTCTGTCTATTTGTCAGCCAATGTCTTCAACCACGGGGACTTGTGAAGTAGCCATCTTGGATTTTTTTTATGAAAAAGTGTTTCTCTCACTTTTTTTCATATCTGTGTACATATTCTCAACATACCGAGCAAATACTCTCGTTTTTTTGTTAATTATCTAAAGAAAGTCGAAAATCGGCAATTCAACCATAGGCTAATTCAACCCAACATTTGAAAATGTTCCACCACTTACATTTTGATGATTTTTCCTCTCATCAATAGCATATTACGTACTGTTTAATAGGATAAAAATTGGTTTGCATCCAACGCCCATAAAAGGGTGTATTCTCTAAAAAACACAGTTTTTGTGTCTAAAATGTTATCATCGAAAATGGCATTTTTGAGATTGTTTCTTCCATAAAACAGCCAAATGGCGCGATGGAAACATGATTTTTTGTCACAATCATGCCATGAATGTATTCTTTACGGTGACCATCATTTGATTAGATTTTCATTAATATTTTACATAACATGCACATTTTATCAACACTTAGACAGCTTCTGAAAGGTACAACTTTGAGGAGCCATAAAAAACAAACCAAGTGACCTAAATCTTTATACTTTATAGATTTGTGACCACAACGGCATGGGCAATGCACCACCAACAGGAAATTTGAATCAGAGAAGGGGCCGTTTTGGAAACCGGCCCTTTTCAAATTCTAAATTTGAGCAAACCATAAATATGAACATATATACATTTTCATGTTTCTTGTTTTCCCTCCTCCACATATCATTTTTAATTTCAATTTCAAAAGGTTGGCAATATGCTACAGGAATGATTTGCAATAACTTGTCAACCTATTGATCATTACGGAGAAAACTTATCAGCTATGTGCTACCAGTCATGATGTTTATTATACTAAAACTGGTTTCTGCAAAATTCAAAATGTTCTAACTCAATAAAAATGTCTGTAACCCATACTTGTCTTTTTTATTGAGGGAATAAAATGAATTTAACAGGAGAATCATTGTTTAATCCCTTCCCTGTATACTCTAATTAAGGTGCTAGTTTCAAACCTTGTCGGACACCATATTTATTAATTTTAATTTGTAATATTTATTCACTTCTCCAACCAATCTGGATTTAAGGCTAAATGCTACCTTATTCCATAATGCATGTGGTTCTGTTAACAGCTATCTCCCCTTAACAGCTTTAATTAGCATTAAACTATAATTCAGTTTTACGTGCGAGATATCCATGCTTTTGTGTACCTTCTATATCATCAAATGAATCAACTCTGTCTAAAGTGCCTTTCAGGTATTTTACAGTGTAGTGAGTGTGCGTGAAAATCTTCAGAAAAGGAGGTACATTTACACTAAGTTATCAAATACCCTTAATTTGCCAATGGC